CCGGAGTCGGATCGTGGCCACAAGCCGCCCGTGGCCGATGATCTGCAGAGCCAGAAGAGCAAAGGAGGCACAGGTAGCACCCACCTCCTCTCCCCGCATCGCCTGTGCGGTCGAGGACCTCCACGGGGCAGGATTTTCCCTAAAATGCCCCCAAAACCTCCTCCGGTGACTCTTTCCTTCCTCCCAACAGGGGTTTACATCCTGGCGGGGAAACCGGCATCTCCAAATCCTTCCCAAAAGGGTGAGTTGCTCTCGACCGATGCCGCTACCCCGTAGCGGAGGCCTCGGCCGAATCCAGACCCGGGAAGCCGGGATTCCTCCCCGATTTCTTCCGCGCTGCTCTCCGCAGGTGACCCGGAGCCCAGAGGTGGCAGAGAACGGAGCCGCAGGATGACGTCGGTGGCCGTCCTCTACGTCCTGGTAGCGCTGAGCTTCGTCGCGTGGGTGCTGCTCTTCGCGCTGGCCATGGTGAAGCGTAAGCGTCCCTGGGAGGGTCCTCGCCAGGCCAGGAAGGAGCTGGTTGGGTGAAATACCCCAAAAAAAAGAATTTTCACTTTTAAAAATAACACGTGGCTTGTGCCCGCGATGCTTTAAGCGTCCGTCCATGCGGAAACCGCAGCTAAAGCCCGTCCATCGTCACGATTTGGTTTTAATTACACCTTGGTACGTGAATTTTCGGGTTTTATCACCAAATTGCCCTCAGTTCGCTGCATCTGGGTGCTGCCTCCTTCTGCCTGCACCAGCAGCATTCCCCATTTGCTACAGGGTGTAAATCCAGAGTAAATTCGCTCTGGAATTCCCCGCTCGGCCCAAAAAAAGCCATAAATGGGGCGAATTTAGAATCTGCTCTGGAATTCCTCACTCGACCCAAAAAAACCCGTAAATTGGGCAAATTTAGACGCCGCTCGTGATTCCTCGGTATGATCCAGCCATGTTTGTTCTTTCGTTTTCATTTCAGAGATGGAAATCGTGGCGGAGTTAAAGCTCTTGAAGTTGAACTACTCGGAGCATCAAGCCAACGGTAGGTCCTCGGACTCACATCCCCCCGGTAAAGTTTAGCGGTGGATTGGGAGACGCTGATTTTTTGGTGTTTGGCTCTTTTCCGGCACCGGTTTTGCCTTTTGGTGTAAATTAAGGAAAAATGGAATTGTCTTTTCGAGCAGCTCCTGGTTCTTCTCTTAGTGAAGCAACGCCAGCTTCGACCGACTTGTTTCTGATTTCCACCGGGAATTACACCGGGGTAATGGTGTAGATTGGACACCGACTGAGCTCGTGCCCCAATCCCGAAGGAATTAGCCCCAAAAGGGTGCAAATAGGAGCAAGTCAGCCCTTGGGATATCACGGGATTTATCCTGATTAGGATCTTACTGGGGGGAAAATCCACCCCGTTATGTCTGTTAAAGATTACGGGAAGGGAAGGATGTAAATCCTGCAGAAAATTCTACAAAATAACGGGCCAAATCCTTAACCGCCGCCAAATGAGTGATTAATTAAATAATATTATGGGTGATATTGCAGCGAAATGTCACCCAAAGAGGAAAAAAAACCACGCAGCAAAGCTGGTGTAAGATGTAAGAACTTTTGCAGCCCTGATTGAGATTTGGAAAAGTAATAAATGCTGGGGGAAAAAAGCTCAAGATTTGGGTAAACCGAAGGCGGG